CCCCCCCCAGGTCCGAGATGGGGGCAAAGTCCCCCAGCCCACAGGGGGGCGCCCTCAGGAGCCCCTCAGTCCGCCAGTCCCCCAGCCCACACGGGGGCGCTGCACGCAGCCGCTTCCCCCCACAATCCGCGCTTCTCCCCCAGTTCCCCTCGGTCCGCCGCCAGGCCCGGTGATGGGGGGGGGGGGGGGAGGCGGTTGGGTCCTTCTGTCCTTCGGCCGCCGCGCGGGCACTGGGGGTTCCGTCGGCCCTCAGTACGCCGGCACCTGGTGCTGGTGCTGCGGGAGGAGCTGGCAGCCGCTGTTGACGTGGCTGAGCACCTTCTGCTTGAGCTGGGCCACCTGCTCGCGGAGCAGGCTGGCGGTGGAGGCCAGTTCCGTGTTCTGGCTCTTGAGGCTCTTCACCTTCTCCTCCAGGCGGGAGATGCGCTCCAGTTTCCTCTTGCGGCACTTGGAGGCGGCGATGCGGTTCCTCAGCCGTTTCCGCTCCGCTTTGATGCGCTCCTGCGTGTCCATATCGATGGGGGACAGCGGAGGGCTCTCTCCGAAGCTCGGCACCTCGGGCACGATCTGCGGCTCGTCCTTCAGCGGCGGCGGGGGGGGGAGGAGGCAGCCGGGGCGGCGGGGCCGCAAACGGGCCGGGCTCGGCGGCGTAGCTGACGGCGGGGTACGTACTGAGGTTGGCGTACACCGGCGGCTCCGGGGCCAGGCCGGCCGCGGGCAGCTCTCCTCCGCCGCCGCCGCCTCCGCCGCCTCCTCCCGCCGCCGCCGCCGCTCCCCCGTTGGGGCCGCCGCCACCGCCCAACTGGTTCTGCTTGTGCAAGTCCTCCAGCGCCTTCACGAAGCCCTCGGCGAACTCCTGCTCCTCCGAGGCGGCCGCTTTGGGGTAGAGGAACTGCCCGCTGGTCGGCGTGGTGGTCACCAGCCCGTTGGACTGGATGATGAGGCGCTCCAACTCGGGCGACGCCAGCTTCAGCAGCCCCAGCTCGGCGGAACCCAGCAGCCCCGCCGCCGCCTCTCCGCCCGCCGCGCCCGCCGCCGCCGCCGCCGCCGCTCCCGGGGCCTTCAGCGCCGCCGCCACCTGCTCGGGCAGCGCTAGGCCGAGCGCGTCCTTCTTCATCATGCTGCTGCCGGGGAAGGGCAGGAGGAGCCCGCTGCTGCCGGAGGTCGGAGCGAAGCCGCCGCCGAGGCCGCTCAACACATCATCATGGTAGAAGGGTGTTTCCATCCTCCTCCCCCGCCCGGCTGCGGGGGAACGGGGCGGGGGGGAGCGCCGTGAAGGAGGGGGCGCGGGGCCGAGCGCGGCGCTGCCGGGGGGGAGGGGAGGGCGGGGGAGGCGGCGGTGCCACCGGCCGCAGCCCCGCTCCTCCGCGCGCACACACGCGTCTGCCGCCGCCGCGGCCCCCGCGCCGGTTTAAATACGGCGGCGCGGCGGCGGTGACCTCACCGCGCGGCGCTGCCATTGGCTGCACATGACGTCCTAGCTCGCCGCGATTTGCATAAGGGGCGCGGCTCCGCCCCCCCGGGGCGGGGGAAACGCGGTGGCGGGCGGCCACGCCCCCTCCTGGCTCCGCCGTCGCCACGGCGACCGCCGGGGAACGGCGCACAACAGCGCGAGGGCCGCCGGGCTGACGTCATGGCGGGGGAGGGGCCGCACGTGGGCCCCGCCGGGACTCACGGGCACAAAGGGAGGAGGGGCGGCGGGCCGCGGCCTTCCCTCCGTATGGGCGGTGGGTCGGGCCGCGCCGCAGAGTCCCCGCCGTGCGTCGTGCCCCGGTCTCCTCCCCCCCCCCGTACTCCCCCCTCCGAGGCGGCACGGCGGGGGTGCGGCGGCAGCGGCGGCCCCGCGCGTCACGGCTGAGCCCGCGGGCGGCTGAGGGGGCGGTGCGGCGTCAGCGCTGACGTCACCGCCCGCGTGCGGCGGAGAGCGCCCCCCCCCCTACGGATGGCCGCGGGGAAACGAACCGACCGCCCCCCCCCCGCGCCTCCCCCATCGCCCATCGCGGTGCTGCGGCCCGGGGCGGGCGGGGAGCGAGGCCCCGGGGCCGGGCTGGGCCTTCCCAACCAACCCCATCATTACGGGCGCGGCCCGCACGGCCGGTTCGGGCCTTCCGGCCTCGGGGGGCCGCAGATGGGGCCGGGCGGTGCGCCGTGGGGGCCGTGAGCCGCAGCCCTGACCGCCCCACGTGTCCTCATCCCGGGTGCTGCTCATCAGGCCGCGGCGGAGCCAGGAGCCTCGCGAGGCTCAGCCTCATGTCCCAATTCCAGGCGCTCCCCGCTCGCAGCTTCCTTGTCCAGCCAGCACTTCACAAAGGCCGCAGCCCTGCGGTGTCCCCAGCCAACACAGCGGTGTCCCCTCGTGCCGTGTGCCTCCTTTCCCCCTGATGTCCCTGGGCTCTGTTAAGCTTTGCACACCCCGGCGAGGTCCTGAGCACCACCGCAAACGCCGGCCTCGCACCTCAGCACGCTGACCCCATTTCCCCAGAACGTTCCCTAAATCTCTTACATCTGGGCCTTGCTTGAAGTGCAGCCCCACTCAGTGCCAGCACACGAGAGCCCCGGTGCCGACCCGAAGGCTCCCACCTGCCCCAGGGCCGCCCTGAGTCACCGCTGTGGGCTGGGAGGGAAGAACCGGGCCGGGAAAACAGAACCACTGCCCTGAACCCCCATGGGGAGCACAGAGGGGCCGCGCTGCCCCCAGGGCCCAGAATGATCCAAAACAAGAGGAGAAAAAAAATAATAATAATAAAAAAGGAAAAACGAGGAGGAGGGTTTGACGTGTATTTTTAGTTGCTTAGCACAGCCCTGAAATATTTCAGCAGCCACTCCCTCCGCGTCGCAGGCGGCTGCGGTGTAACTATTCCTGTGCTGCTGCCTCCCCAGCCAGCACAGCACTGTGAGTCACTGCGGGACACGGCCCCACCAAACGGCACGGCTGACAGCTGGGGACCAGGACGGGGCCGTGGGGTCACTGTGGTGGCCACGGTGCAGCCCCACGCTGAGCCTGGAGCTGTTTTTCCTCCTCCCGCGTCACCGCAGAGCGCTGGGGCTTCGTCCTCTTGGCAGTTGTGGGGCAGGAAGGGGTTTGGGGAGCACAGAAGGCCGCAGAGCTGCGAGGATGGCACAGGATGCTGCCTGCGCGCAGGGACCAGCGTGCCTGCAGAGGCGGCGAAACGCAGGGGGAAGAGCTGAGGGAGGGCTGCTAAGGGAGCGCTGAAGTGAAAGCAGAACAGCAGCAGAGCTTTGTGGAGCGGCAGGAGGCTGTGGACAACTCTGCCACGAGCCAGAGCCAAATTCCCATCGTTCGGGGTGCTTCATCACCTCAGCACTGCCCGTCACTCCAGGCGGCCCACTGCGTTTCCTCCTTCACGCGGGCAGCTGCAGCGTGCAGTTGGTGTGGCTGGAGGCAGGGACTAGAAGGGAGGGAAGGGAAAGTCTGACACAGGGCTGGGGCCGTGCTGCACTGAAATGCCACATTGGTGTTTACTCAGAGCGAGTTTCCAGCAGGGAGGACACACACAGCCCAGTCCCAGCACTGGGCAGAAGGCAGCGCTCCCAGAAAGGGACCCAGCTGGGGGAACAGCAGCACTGCAGCCCGATCCCTTGGTGCTGACAGCAGGGCTGAGCACAGAGCACTGAGCGCAGCGGGGCTCTGCACTGAGCAGCCGGCACAGGAAGGAAAGCGTCGGCAGCAGGTTGGCGATTTATTGCTGCCTGCTGCTCTGCTCAAGTCTTATAAACGTTAAAGAAAATAAGTGCAGATCAAAGCGTGTGCTGGACTCGTTTTCCCACCAGTGGTGATGGCAGGGAGGTTTCAAGATGGAAATCGGTGGGGGGGGGAAGGGGAAGCAAACAACCAAACACCACAAAACCAACAGACCTTTTAAGAATGAGTTACAGTATCTGCTTTTACCCCAAATTAAAACCGTTTCAGTCATTCTCAAGAGTTCAGGCAAGGCCCAGAGCCCCTTTCTCCCCCCCCATCCCCCCCCCCATGCCCCCATCCAGACTTTCATTTGGGATCAGCCATGATTTTTTGGGGGTGTTTGCTCTGCACCCCGTGGGATGGAAGACTCAGAGCAGCCTGAGCTCAAGGCCAAAGGACCTTCCTTCACCTGCAGGAGAGGAACAGTTCCCCCCCCCCAGGGGAAAAGGTCTGAGCAGCTACCAGAAAACAAAATGACAATGGCAGCAAAGTCAATCCCTGCGTATCACAGGGAACGTGCTTGGGAAGTGCTGCTGTAAGTTGGGAATCAGACTCTGTGTCACAAGGGAGGGAGCTTCGACACGGGGAAAAAGAAACAGAACATTTCGTTTGAACGGCTCGATTGCTTTCAGGAAGAAAAAAAGAAAACACAACCTGAAAACGAACAGAGAGGAGCGAGGGGCGCTGCAGCCTTTCAGAAGAAAACACAGAGAAGCATTTCCTTTCAAGGGAACTTCTAATCTGAAGTCAAATTAGCTATACACTAATTGGGAAACCCTCGCTTGTCACAAAGCTCTCTTGGAAACAACCCTTGAAGCCCAAAGCGAAATCTGTGCTGGTTCTCCTTTAAGCCAAGGCCAGAGACAGACAGACTGCCCAAAAGGAGGGCAAGGAGGCAGCCTGAAAGTTTGCTGTGTTCAAACACGACCAAACAAACCCCTGCGGCCGCTCACTAAAGGCACCATCTCCTCAAGTTCAGTGCTTTTAAACCAAAACGCTGCGCCTGTGAGCAGGCGAGACATTGCTGTGTGCCAAGTGTTAGAAAACAAAACGAAATGAAAACCAAACCAGCCACACGACCGAGCCCGAAAGCGTTTGCCTCAGATCTCCCAGCGCCCAGGAGATGCTTGTAAATTAAAACAGAGATCCCAACAGATTCAATAGTGCTGAAGTCAGGTCCTTAACCGCGAGCGGTTCTTTTTTAAACATTTCCAATTACAGGCTGGCTGGCTAAAAGAAGCCCAGAGCTGCACTTGATCAGATCGAACAGCGAGGGGCTTCCGAACAACGCGATTCGGGCACGGATCGACTGACGGAGGAGCAGAGGTTGAAGGATTTGAACCCATGGCCATCCTGAGGTGGCACCGAGGAGCGCTGTGCTCTGTCCCTGGCCGGGGCTCACACAGCCCCTCACTGCTTCGCCGATTGCCTGCCTGGCTTTTTTTCCTGCTGGCCTCTTCCGCTGCCCGGTATTCCTCGGCCACGGCCCCCAAACACACCTGCAGGGTGAGGAGAAAGAGCAGAGAGAGAACAGCATCACAGTGAGCCTGTAACATCTCCCACAGCTTCGCTGTTTGTTAGTTTGCCCAGAGGTGGGATTGTTCTGTGGCCTTTCTTGGAGGCAGAGAGGCGACTTTCACACTTCTCCCTCACCAACTCCAGAGCCTGTCTGCGTTCACCAGGGGCACAAGCTTACCTCCCATCACCAGCAAGTTCAGCAGTACCTCTCTGGTGCTTTAATGTGCCCCCTGGCAGGCTGCGAATCGACATAAATTCAAGTTTACCTCTTTTGGAAAACGAAACCAAGGCAGAGAGACCCAGTTTTAACCGAGCGCCTGTCAGCAGTGGGATCAGCATCATGCTGTGCCCCTGAAAGCTGTACAACCAATCCAAAAGCAGCAAAGAGGGCGACTCGGTTTCAAGGCTACAAAACAGAGAAAACACATCCGTGTCTGTCACCGCCTCGCTTGTGGACGGGGTGATCCAGCAGCACGCAGAGGGAGCACGAAGGCAGCAGGACCTGGGGGCTGTGATGAGTCCCAGGCACCCCGGTGCCCCGGCGCTGTGCTCCTCTCTGCCCTGAGAGCTGCTGACGCCTGCAGCCCTGCCTCCCACTCCGATCCGCTGCAGGCAACCGGAGCGGCTCGCTCTGCAGCTCTGCTCGTTCAGCTGAGATGCATCCAAAGCAGAGTGGAAGGAGGCTGCTCCTAACCCTGCAGCCCCTGGGAAGCAGCTGGAGCCCTGCGAGCAGCCTGAGAGGCTGAGCAGAGACTGCACTGCTTCTGCGCTGGGCAAGCCAAGAAGACGAAGGATTACCAGTGTCAGGAACAATAATCCTTTCAACTGCCTGCACAATTATAGCTTTACTTCTGCCTGCTGGCCTCTCAACAAAATTGTCCTGCCCTTTTTTTCTTCCCCCTTAATGTCTCGGTAATGAGAGCCAAACCTCTTAGCTAATTAGCAAATGCCAAAGCTTCCCTTTAAAATATTCCATCAGCGAATTTAAGCTGCACATCAAAACAGCAGGGAACTCCACCTCAAACAGAACTCTCTCCACAAGGTGGATATTTCCACAGCACAGAAAATACTTCAGCTAAAACATTTGTCCAAATAACCGTATCCAAAAAGCCGCTGTGCCAAATGCTTTGGACTCCAAAAAGGGAAGAAGGAAAAATAAAAGGCGCCTTCAGAATGGTAAAGGTCACTCCTGTGTGCTCAGAGGCAGCACAGGGAGCAGCCATGGCAGAGGGATTTTCCTCCTGCAGTCCCTGGGAGACGTGGATGCAGCTCTTGGTGTGTCCCAGTGTGACACCAGGCCCCCCCAGCCTTCTCCTGGGGCTCCTCACATCCTGCTGCTCGTTAAAGGCGCTCCGTGGATCCTTTTAAAACCCAGATCCCCCGAGTTGAACTCAGTTTTGTTGTAGCAAGGAAGTTTGTCTGGCATTTAAGCTCCCACTGCAGGCTCAGCCCACACTGAAGATCCCTGGGGCTGAGCACAGCAACCACAAAGTGAATTGCAAAGACGTGGCAGGAGGTGTGAGCACAAGGGAGAAATGCTGCTTGGGCATCCAGCAGCACTGTGCTCAGAAAGGGCAAATATTTCCCCAGGCTGAAGTGCTCCAAGATAACCCAGCCACGAGAAATGGAACGAGGAAGGGAGAGCTGGGTCAGCCTATTTCTGTGTAAGTGGCAACCTTTTATCAGAAACAAGAAATATTAATTTGGAGCAGGAAGAAAACAAACCTTCAGAGAACAGGTTAAAAATAAAGAAGAAATCGGCAGACCGCAGGATGAGGAGCCCCATCCTAATGGCAGTAAAGGTGGCCTTTTCCTACCACGAGGGTGGCCAAATTCAAGTCTGATTTCAGACAGAACAGCCACTTGTTTCCCTCCCAGGTTTGCAAAGCTAACAGACACCAGGAGTTTGGTGGGGCCGCGTTCTGCAAGCAGCCAGGAGGGGCACAAACAGACGGAGTCTCTTAAGCTCCTGCCCAGCCCAGGAACGAGGCTCATCCCTGGCACGTCTCCTCACTGCTCTTTGGCAGAGGCTGCCTTTCAAGCCAGACAACACACTCACTCAACTAGATCTTGCCCAGCAGCAGCTCCAGCTTCTCACAGATCAACAGCTCCGGGTTCAAAGCTGAGAAGCATCGGCCCTTCCTTGCACAACAAGTGAAATTCAAAGGCAGGAATTCCAGCCACCCCTCTCTGAACTGAAAAGCAGAAAGGATTGTCGTTACCTCGTCCAGCACCTCCAACGCCACGGCCTTTCTGTTGTTTCTGCTGTTGCATCCCCCCACGGCCTCTGCCCTTGGAGACCACCTCCTCTTTCACCATGTCGATGATTTCATCGGGGATCCGCAGGTATTTGATTGTGCTGCCACGGATGTAACACTCCGGCATCCTCCAGAACTTGTCGCCGTCCTGTTGGGGAGCAGCGCGTTAGGCTGAGAACAAGGGCCACGTGCTCTTACGTTGCTTTTTTGGCACTTGAATATTTCCATCACTTCTGGAGAGTGTGACAGATACAACAATCTTTTTCTGGAAGTGTAAGCCATAATTAGCTGTGAAATTCCTCTTTTCTCTCCAAAACACGCAGCCCTGCAGCCTGCTGGGGGTGGGGGGCGTTCAGCCACGAGCCACTGACGTTTCAGCCCGTCCAACTGCCAACAACTGCCTTTGACTCTCACAGAAAACGAAGGAAGAAGAGGCTGAGGAAACAGCACCTTCCCTTTGCCTCTCATACAAGAAGAGAATCGAAAGTGGGACTGGAGAGGGAAACGTGGCGAGTTACACACAGCTGCTGCGAGCACCGAACTCCGGCAACGCAGGGCTGTTCCAGCAGAGGCAAAGGCACACATTTCCCCTGCAGAAACCCCAGCCAGAGTCACCTAACGACTGCACTCCTCTGCGCTGTGGATTGAGCAGCAGGGCAGTGTCCAGCTGGGTGTGGGCTGTGCCCAGCAGCGCGCAGGAACCGCGGCTGTGGAAAACAAGAGCTTAAAGATCGCGTTAAAATAAACCTTCGGGTGCCAAGTGACGGAGCAGCTGCCTCTGTGTTTTGTTTAAGGCAGTTTCAGGGCTTTGCTAGGCCACGGCCCATCTGGGCTTCAGCTCCTGTGGCTGTGGGAATAGGAACTGCATGTGAAAGCTGAATAACAACTGATGTAAACGGGAGGAGGGACGGAGCCTCGTGCGCTCTGCTCTGCTCTGCTGCAGGGCTGGGCTGCACACGGGCTCCTCACAACCATCACACGTGGACAAAGCGTCCACGATTGTCCCAGGGGAGTGGGTGAAACCAGAATGCCTCGTTTCACCTCTCCAGGATCAAGTCGTTCCCCCCTCCGCTCTGGAGTTATTTGGGGCAACGCCGCACGCACAGGCAAGTCCCGTGTGCGCGAGACAAGGCGGAGGAGCAGCCTTCTTCAAACAGGCACCCAGCAAAACCCCACCCTGCCTGGATCCGCCCGGCTGCACTTTGGCTCCCGAAGCAGGAAGGGATGGAGCCAGGTCCCCGGCTTCCTCGTTCCAGCTCCGGGGTAAACAGCCGCCGCCGCTCCGTGCCATCTAGTGGCTGATCCCCACCGTGCCGCCAGGAAGGGCTTCCGGCAGCGCTGCGAGGGCATTCGGGGCTGGGAGTGAACTGCAGGGCGCTCGGTGGGAATAAATGCTGAGGAAGCGCTCTGCCCCCAGCAGCACAAAGCCGCTTTCTGAGGAAGCAGTATTAAAGGCCGGCGTCCCCCGTCCTGCAAGCACTAATAAGGCTTTGCCGCTGCCACCCCTTCCCGCAGAATTTATCTGCCCTGCCAATTTGGGGATCTGCGCATTTTTAGGGCTCACTTCCCTGCCCTTAAGGTCCTTCTTAAACATTTGTTTGGTCATGCTTACGTGCAAACATCTCCGTGCCGCAGCAGTATTGGCCAATACCTTCCTGCCGTGGGTCCAACAGGCACGAAAGGCTGCAGAAGGGTTTTCCAGAGAAGAAGGGTTTCCCTGACAGCCTCTCCCACAGACCTCTGGTGTTCTCAGACACAGACAGCAGTGGGAACGTGGCCAGGCACAGGCTGGCAGGGACAAGACCAGACACTTCTGGCTGAGGTCAGAACTCAAAGCACAGATCCCAATCTTCTGGAGCACCTTTGGCCATGGGCAAAAGTACCAGACGAGGCACAACCCGGGTAAACAAGAGGCCCTGATTATTTTTGAAGTGGAGTTAGAGGGCGAGAGGCAGGCACTGACAAAAGCCAGCGCTGTGCTTGATGGGACTGCATGGAGCAGGCACCGAGAATGCAGCTCGGCACCAGAACAGGACCTGTCACCAGCCCTCCATACCGAGCGCTCTCACCCTGCACCACCATTGGGCTCATTTGTTTCTTACAGCTCACAAATAGCTGCGTTACATTCACACTCGGGGCAAAAGCAACACAGAGGAGCGAGGATCTCTGCGAGCCCCACTCAGCTGCAGGGCTGGAGGTGAGGGGCTGCCAGCACGGGGGGTCTCTGGGCACAACGGGGGTCCCAGCACCGAGCAGCCGCGCCGCTCCTTACCCGTGAGGTGCAGATGACCTCCCGCAGGTTGATGTTCATCCAGTTGTCACAGCTCACCAGGTGCCCGTTGTATGTCTCTCCGTTCTTCAGCTCCACCAGCTGAAAGAAGCGGGGGTCACCACGTGGACACCGGGCCCGGCAGGACAGCGCCGAGCCCGAGGCCGCAACGGGAGTGGGACGGGAGGGCCGGGACTCACCATGGGGTGGTTCTGCGCCGTCTTCAGCAACGACAGGGGCAGCTGCGGGGGAAAGAGAGAGAGGCCTCAGGAACCGGGGCGCGGGGACCGCCTGTATTTCCACACAGACTCCCCAGAGCGGCGGGAATTCCCAGGCCCGCCGCCCGCCGCCGCCCGGCCCAGACCCGCACTCACCATCGTGCCGGAACCGCGGAGCCGCCGCCGCGCCCGGCACTGCCGCTCAAACCGCCCCCGGCCCCGCGCGGGGCCAATCAGAGCGCGGCGCGGCCCCCGCGGAGCCAATCAACGCGCGGGACCCGACCTCTGCCGTAAAGCATCGCCGGGGCTGCCGGTCCGCAGCGTCACGACAGTGCCGTAAATTGAAAAGCGGGGCGGGAAGCGGCGGCGCTCCCAGCTGGCCCTTTCTGTTCTGTTCTGTTCTGTTCCGTTCCGTTCCGTTCCTCTCAGGACTCCACCAGCACGAGCCCAGCAGGATCGGGAAAGCTGGGCGTGAAACCACCGTAGCGTTCTGTACGGGTTTAACTAGCTCGAGCCCGCGCTTTCGCGATAAGCCCGTGAGGCGGCTCTGGGCTCAGACCCTTGCGGACCGCTCCACCTCCGCTGCCGCCCCAGGAGCTCGGGGGGACCCAGAGTCGAGGCGGCCTAGTTGGCCGCTACCCCCGGCCTCGCGCTTTTCTCCCGGCGGCGCAAGCGGCGCTCAGGAGCCGCTCTAGGCAGCGAGGCGGCGCGCACTCTATGGCCGCGCGGGGCCGCTCTGGGCGTCGGGGCGGCGCGCACTCTATGGCCGCGCGGCGCCGCTCTGGGCGTCGGGGCGGAGCGCGCTCTATGACCGTGCGGAGCCGCTCGCTCAGTGCGGTGCGGCCGCGGGCAGGGTGGGAGCGGAGATGGAGAAACCGCGGCGGGCGGTGGTGGTGACGGGTACGGGCGGCGGGACCGGGGCGGGAGAGCGGGGAGGGGGCGGCCAGGTGGGCTCCGCTTCCCTTATGTAAGCGGGGGGCGGTGGCAGGCGCTGGGGGCTGCGCTGCGGGATTGGGGAGGGGGGCGGTGAGGGGCACGGGGGAGATCGGGGGGGTGTGAGGTGAGCCCTGGGGTCCCGCTGGGGGTGCGGGGCTGGGGAGGGGCTGGCAGGAGCTGCCCGGGGCACGAGGTGCTGCCGAGGGGTGCGGGCTGCGGGCTGCCTTGGGGGGGGGGGGGGGGGTGCTGCTGCCGCGCTCCTTTGCGAGGGGCTGCAGCGGGGACCGGCGCCGGTTCGCCCTGAGGAGGTCCGGGGGACTGCGGGAGAACGGAGGGGGTTTGGTGCCTGGGGACGCCGTGCCGCCTCCATCCCCGTGCCACGAACCCTTTCGGTGTCCCGAGAGCAGCGGCCCCACGGCCAGCGCGGTCCCCGCGTGTCACAGCGCAGCGTTCCCAGCCCGGGGGCTGCGCTGAGCGGTGAGCAGACACAACCCGTCAGCCGAGAGCTCCCCCCGATCCCCGCAGTACTTTTGTTTCCCGTCTTCTGCACCGGGGGGGAACTGCTTCTAAAATTCAGAGCTTATTTCGCTGGATCTGCCCGTGATAGCACATGGCCGATGTCACGCTGAGTTCCCATTCAGTGCTGTGCGTGTCACGCTGAGGGCAAGCCTCATTCCTGTGCCGTTTCTCTTTTAGAACTCCGTAAGGAGATAATCCCGTACAGGTCTGCACGGAGGGCTCAGTGCTGTGTGCCTGCAGGGCCCTGTGGTGGATGTGGGATGGGATGGCTGCGGCCAGTTTGGTGCTGCAGAGAAAGTTGCTCATCTGCCGTGAAAGGAATCGGTGCGGAGATGAGTGAGAGGGGCTTTGTGCCGGCTCAGCTGGGCTCAGAACGAGAGGTTTTGGTTACGCTGGGGGCACCTGGAGAACTGCAGCCCTCCGGTGTGCTTTGTAGAGAAGCCGTCCTAACGAGAGGCTGTGTTCGGTGTCTCTCATCGCTGTGGGGAAACAACGTCTGCATTTGGATCTCGTGGGAGCCTCCAGGAGATTTATTCTGGGGAGATACTGACTGTGGTTCAACTTGGAGGCTTTGGTTGAGATGGCCGGCCCGCTGAGCCCATGCTGTGCAAAGCCCCGGCGCCATCCTGCACGGCGTAACCTCAGCCCTCGCCTTCTGCTGGCAGCACACGGGAGGTTTCCATTAGTGTGTCATGTAATATTTGTGGTCCCTCTCGGTCCTTTCAGCTTAGATGAAATGTGTGCCTCCTGATTGCATTGGGCTCGTGGGGTAGCTCTGACATCTTAAATTAGAGCATATTGACCCTGCGCCCAGATAAATGCCTAACCTTTGTGTGCTTGCTCAGGAAAAGATGTTATGGATTACTAGTTAACTCTGAGTTACTCATTAGGAAATGCAGATGAGGGGAGTTAAGTGTTTTTATAGTGCTGTCATAACCTTTGGTGCTCAGTGTAGGAGGGTCAGCAGTGCTCTGGTTGGTTCCTCTTAAGGCAGCAGAGATGTTGGTGAAGGTGTGAGCAGAGGGGCACTGGAGGCAGACTTGTTTGTGGAAGCATCTGCTGTGGGCTGTTACTGTCAGGGTTAGAAGCTCCAATCACGATCCTCGTTCTGTGCCATCACTCCACTGCTCTGTAGCTAACAAGTGTTCCTAGCCTGGTCAGCAAGGAGAAAATGCACCTCCAGTAGGGACTGGGTGTTACAAGCAGTGGGTTTTCTTTCAGAGCACATAAATCCAAGAAGTGCAGAGGGCAGCTGCAGTCCAAGCTGCAGGGCTCAGCTGCTCACCGGGGGCTTTTCTTCTCTTTCAGGGTTTGGACCCTTTGGAGAGCACGCCGTCAACGCCAGCTGGATTGCAGTGCAGGTAAGGCTGTAACTTCGGCCTTGGAGCAGCACCGTCCCCTGCCTGCACGCGTTTCAGCCCTGATTCTGCTCTGTCCACTGAGGCCGGCTCGCCCCGTGTCCAGGCACTCAGCTGGGTGATGTTTTGTCCACCTCTACAATCCCCATGCTGGTAGAACATGGTGAGATTGGGTTCGTAGAGCAGAGGCAGATAAGGAGCCCCCAGGCTGACTCCCTGCGCTTCAGAGGAGTTAAACGGTGCACGGAGCCCACAGTCTTTCTCCACCACTTAGCAGAGGGAATTCAAAATAAATAAACAGAAAGAAATTTGAACGTTTCTCTCTCCGCTGCAGCCTGGGTCTGGGTGAGCAGGTTGACCTTTAAGCCCTCCCAGCTGTAATGGGGCTCAGCACGTGGGGCCGTGGTTGAAGTGCTCATGGAGTGGCATTGCTTGAGCAGATCAGAACGCCCTGCTAAACAGGGCTGAGGGCGCTCTGTGATGTTCTGTAAAGCATCAGCTTGGGCAGCACTGTCACGTTCTCCCGATTCTCCCTTATTTGTTGCTCCTGGAGGTGGTTAATGACAAAGCCGTTGGGAATTCACGGTGCCTTTTAGTACAGCTGCCCGGGAAACTGGATCTGCTTCTCTCCCCAACACGTCTCTCTTCCCTTCAGAGCTCGGGGATTAATATCTTCTTCAGAATGCTTTTAAATTAAATCTCAAGCTCTAATCAATTACAGTCAGCCGATGTCCAGATGTCCAACGCGCTGACTGGTGAGGGGAGAGGAAACCTTTGGCTCTGAGAGCCTCTGGGGCTGAATGCACCCGAGTTGCTCAGCCAAGGCTGGGGAGGACGGCGTGTTACTGAAGGGCGGCCATGAGGCCGTTGGTTTGGTTGCTTCTTCCTCACGCCACGTCAGCTCTTGTTTCCTGGTTTTCTGCTAGAGATGCCCAGCAGGGCGCTGTGTGTGTGGGACAGGATGAGAGGCGGGTGCTGTGCTGTTCCTGCAGGAGCAAAGCTGACGTTGATGCGCGACGAGGAGCAGCCCCACGCCGAACCAACTGAGCGCGTCTTCAGCTCGCATTGCTCAGGGCTGCTTTGGGAAGGGAAAGCAGCAGCAGGACCCACCTCCCTGCGGTCCATCCTGCAGCCAGGAGCGCTGTGTGCCCACATCCCCCTCCCCTCACCCCGTCTCAGCCCGAGGGGCCCAGACAAAAAGGAACAGCACGGCTTTGAGCCGGCCGAGGTGGGCTTTGTGCGGCTCAGACGGGGCCCTCATGGAGCAGCATGGACACAAAGGCGTCTGAGTTGCTGAGCCCCAGACGGTGTGATCTGCATTTTAATAGAAGAAAAATCAATTAAACAATCTTCCTAAATCCTTTCTAGCTCCGGGGCTGAGCCAGTTCTGCTTTATTGCATCTTTTATTATCCCACATCCCCAGGATAAGATTCCCTGCTTTTCTTTCCTGGTGTTGTTTGGGCTCTGACACAGAGCACAGCTGTGGTGGCTTTTCCTGCACTGAAGCTGTGCGATTCTGTGAACTCCTGGTGTCACTGCTCAGTTTTGAAGCTCCGTTATTTTTTACACACAGTGAACACAGAGAATGCCTCACCTTCAGGGGCGTTAAATAAAAAGGGCTAAATAAATGAGCTGGGTGCTCGGGAGAGAGATCCCAGATGGATCAGAGGGGCTGATAACTCCTCACAGCTCGCAGCAGTAACGCTCTGCCTCCCACCTGTGCTGTGCCACGCTTTGATCTCTGTAACGTTTGGTTGGAGGCTCTCGGCAGCTGTGCAGGAAGTGGTGCGGGATGCGGTGCCAGCATGGCCCAGGTGTGTCCTGAACCACCATCCTGTCCCACCATCCCCATCCCACCATCCCATCCCACCATCACCATCCCCATCTCACCATCATGTCCCACCATCCTGTCCCACCATCCCCATCCCCATCCCACCATCCCCATCCCATCCCAGCAGAGCGCGTCTGGCTGTGCCGGGGCTCAGTGGAGAGGTCAGGGAGCAGCACAATGGCTGTCAGGGTGTCTAGACAGACCTGATAGGGATATTAAGGGCTCACAAAGAAGCCCATTGTCCGGGGGTCAGGGAATGGGTCAGACGTGTTCGTTTTTCTGTGTTTGTCAGGTATACAAGGCAGTGGATAATGAGTTGTCTGGGGGCCAGAGTACATCTTTATTAGAGAGTGGAGGGCTGTGAGAGGGAGCTGTGAGCAGTGCAGAGTGCTGGGATTCGGGAGCTCCGTGGAGGAGCAGTGATGAATTCCTACAAGTAACGCTGCAGAGCTGTTCCTAAAGGGGCTGCCTTGTGTGTGAGTGCTCTCATGTGTGAACAAGTGACTTCGTTAAGGTGCTGGGTAAAGCAGCCAGCGTTTGGAAGGTGGATTTGTGCAAAGATGTGGTGA